GAGGAAGACGGCCCTGGGCTAACATCTGTGCCCATCTTCCTCCACTTTTATATGGGACGCTGCCACAGCATGGCTCAACAAGCAGTGCATCGGTGCGCGCCCGGGATCCGAACCAGCGAACCCTGGGCCGCCGCAGCGGAGCGCGCGCACTTAACCGCTTGCACCACCGGGCCGGCCCTGACGCTCTTGTTCTTTAGCAGTAAAATATAAAATCTTTGGTGAAAAGAAAAACTTGTCATTCAATGTTTACTCAGCAATAAACAGTGAAAGTTCTTAATCTTGAGGGGGTAGGGGAGAAACAAGAGAGACAGACTCTTGAAGCCCTCAGGTGCAGGAGACACAGAGAAGGTGTCATCATTTAAAAGGAGGGAAAAGGCAGAATTTAAAAAAAGCATTTGGCCAGGAAATTCCCCATTACTGAAGACGAAAGAGTTAAATGCTCGTATTACACAGAATAATTTTCTCAGAAAGGAGAAAAATCATTTAAAATACACAATACTGAGAAAAATATAACGTTTATTAGAGAGGCAGATACGAGGGTACAACTAAGAGGTGCCAGACAGTCTTTTCTTTTAGGATAAGAATAGAGAGAAACAATCATGTTGGCCATATTCAAACAAAACTTACTCAGAACCCAAGTGTCTATAATAAACTCAAGCGAGGAGCAGCCGGCAGGGGACCTAGCTACCAGTGTAACAGTCCTTCCGGCTTCCCCCGCAGTACAAAACAAAAAGGTCATTAGGCAGCAGAATCACCAATAAAACAAACAGATAAAAGAGTAAAACGTTAAAACAACACATTCAAGTAATCCTTTTAGTTTTTAAATTGCAGTATATACAAATATATGGGGGGGATTATGGACATATTTAACAGAGAGCAATTTTAAAAAGCAAAACCATAAAAGAGGATAGTCACAATCCAGTCGACCAATTGGAAGTTACTCTAGTCTAAATATTTTGGCAGTTATTAAATAGTCACATCGTAGACACCACACACACACAGAAAATGCGCCGGCATTACCAAAAACGAACATACTGCTTTGAGTGGGGGGCGTCCTAGAGCAGCAGCCCGCCCGCTGGGATGGATTTAAGGGGGGCCATGTTTGTGAGGGATTTATAAGCAAGGTAGGGAAGAAAGGCTTCTACATATATGTTATTAACCTCTAAATGTTTCTCTAAAATAAAAGCAGAAAACTTTATAAACAAGCGGAGACATTGCTGCTTTTATTTTAATAGATAACTGTTGGAAGAAAACAAAAGTATATTTTGGGTGGAAATAGAAATTCCCGATTCTCTGGGAATTGTTTCCATGCTTTTTCTAGTGCTTTACGCATTGACGAGATGGCATTGAAGCTACAAAATATCTTTCACTGTCTAGTCACCATTACAGAGATTCACCTGTTAGAGGTACCAAGGCACACAACTTCAAATAATGATCTTGAATTTCCATGCCCAGACCACCCACCCGTCCCTGAAAACCAACTGAACTATTTTCTGAATCACATTTGTACAACTCTAAAGAAAAAAAAACAACTTCATGAAATGTCATACTTTTCAAGGTAGGCTTTTCAAAAGCTAACATCTTGCCCTGTTTTAAGACTTTGGCGTTTAGTTTGCTTTCTCCAATAGCTCATAGTCTGGAAATGAGTTCATCATGGGACAGAAAGGTTGGATTTTAATAAGTTAGGTCTCCCATTCGCTGGGTGACATGGCTACAGCTGTGACCACCTACTGCTCATTAAAACAAATCCCTGTGGTGTAAGGGTCAGCTGACTTTATGGCTGCAATACTTAAAAAGGAGACCTGAACCCATTCCCTTGAGAGGCCTGGGGTCAGGATGAGTGGCTTTGTCAATATCATGTCAGCAGAGGTGTAATAATTCAAAAGAGATGTGAATTACAAAATAGTATTTACAAAATCAATGTTTCCTGCTTTTGATTCTGTGCTACAATTGTGTCAGATATGACAGTGGAGGGAAACTAGGTGAAGGGCACACAGGATCTCTCTCTACTCCCTTTGCAACTTCCTGAGCATCTATAACTGTTTAAAAATAAAAAGCATTTTAAAAATCAAGCTGTCATTGAGTAAAGCTGACTAAATTTCACTTTGGTGGCCCTTGTGAAATGGCAGTGAACTTCTGCTAGAATCTGCAACCAGCACCCCGAACTCCTGCCAAGTCCAGCCCCTGATGTGCTGCTGTCACTTTTAGAATCAGCTTTTTTGTTAACATCCGCCAATCCTCCTCTTTTTTTTTTTGCTGAGGAAGACGGCCCTGGGCTAACATCCGTGCCCATCTTCCTCCACTTTATATGGGACGCCGCCACAGCATGGGTTGCCAAGCAGTGCGTCGGTGCGCGCCCGGGATCCGAACCAGCGAACCCCGGGCCGCCGCAGCGGAGCGCGCGCACTTAACCGCTTGCGCCACCGGGCCAGCCCCAGAATCAGCTTTAAATGGACGTGAGCTTATGAAAGCAGCCCACAACGGAGACGCGAGGAGCTAATTTCCTATTTGACATGAATAATTTTCAAAGCCAAACAAAAAGAGAATCTCAACCCACCATCTTCATTCTGACCCATTTATAGCTGGTTCTCTGTGATCTTAGGGCAGATTCTCAAAATGGGCACAAACACTGGGCTTGGTACCCGTCTATGCATGTGACCAACTTCACTACCTATCTGGCCAATTTAAAAATGCAAATCCCCATGTGACCCAGATTCCTGTAAAGATGGGGAAACATTTTATTTTGTTTTGGCTACAATTGATTATATAAAATGAGCTAGAAATTCTAAAACAATTTTCAGTAAATTCACACTTTGGGTTTTACAGATGCCAATGATTAAAAAAAAAAAAAATCCCCTTTGAAAAGTGATGTGCAGAGGGTCTGTGTGTAGAAGCAGATGTTGCTGTCCCAGGTTCTATTTATAGCCCCACCGGGGGAGGTGCAAGCTGAACACTTGCCACAAAACCTCCAACAGAACAGAATGAAGTACTTGGTTAGCACATCTGATCAACTCTGTCCACTGGTGGAGGCGAGGTCAATAGTCATATGTAAAAATCAACTGGGTAAGTGACCAAATTTTTCCAGATTTCAGTTGGCTGTTTGGGACCACACAGGCATAATAGGATAATCATGATTATCTAACAATGATCTTAACCACGTTTAAGTAAAAATACACACTTTCGGTACCAATAAAAGAATCTTATTTACTTCTTTACTTAAGAAGGGGAGGTTTTATTTATGACTTCCTCCAAAGTGAATGAATATAAAATTTAACAAACTAGCGTCGTTCAATTTATTAAGTTACAAAATGTAACATTCTAAGGTAGTTCAATTTATAGCAGGTACTAGATATAAATGAGAGAACTGAAGTCTTCTGTACCCCTATGATGTGAGTGGACTTGTAAATTCAGGAATATTGATTAGAAGCTAGAAGGCAACTTTGTTTTGTTATCTACAGATGCTGCCAAAAGAAGAAATGTTTATCAGATTTCAAATGACACACTTGCAAATTGGCAGTTGGCAGCCTTCCACAGAAAACTCCATCAGCAAGTGAAACTTGATTAGAGGCAAAACTAGCCAAGGAAATGAACGAGTCCACTGTGTGGCTGTATGGACATGCACTGCCGTGTTCTCCATCCAGGCTTCTGAAGAACTGCCTGTAACAGTCACAGTTGTGGGGAGAAACAACTCCAATTTTTAAAAAAAAAATTTTTAAGTTGTATTAAATATAAGTCTTAGCACCTTTGGCATTTTTGTCCAAATAGACCTCGACGTACGAAGTGGGGACATAACCCTCTTCATCTTCATTTCTCCGAATGCGGGTCCACCCATCACCTTTGTCTTCCTCTATGACATACAGTGTTTCTCCTTCAACTACTGAAATGGTTCCTTCATTCTGACCTGAAAAAGCAATATCAGAATATTTTAGGTTTCTTGTCAAATCCAGACGGAGAGCAAACAGGGAGCTTTGCAATGAAACAAGTGCAGTACAAGACGAGGGCCATGCTCGGATGCATGGCCCCTCACCCCTTGTCCCGCAACTTTCTCCTCCCACACAGAAGCTTCCAGGGCCTCACCCTGCATGTTTCTAAGGGCTCTTCTCTATTTCCTCTAGGGAGCCCTCTCTCCCCGCTCCCAGAACAGTAGATGTGTTCCCCAGGGGAAGTCGTGGTGCTCTTCTCTTTTCTTCCTCCCCCTCTCGCATTTTGGGGTGAAAGTGCTCCTACAGCTTTAAGTGCACCTCTTTCCACGCTATCCCCACTTCTCTCTCTCCCGTGCTGGTTCTTGTCAGTAGCTAAGGCTCCACTTCTCCTCTGCCTGAAGCACACCTGGATGTTGTCCTGACACCTGACACGCAACGTGGGGGAACCTGGCCTCGTCGTTTTTCCTCCCAGACTAGATCCCCCTGCTGCTTTCCCGTTTCAGCGGACATCTCCACTGTCCCAGGAACGCAACTTCGGGAATCATCTTTGATTTCCTCCCCTCTTTCCCCCCGACTTCCAATGGGTCACGAGTCTAAGCAGTGTGTTGACTGCAGCATCTCTGTGCCCATTCCTTCATCAAGGCCCCCGAGACCATTTGCCAAGATTTCAGAAGATTAGCCACCTCTGCCCAAACAGCGCTCTGAAAGGCAAACTGTTTAGGGAGCTGTTGATGGGGGTACTGTGGGGGGCTGGGGGTGGTGTGGACATGAAGTAAAAGCGGAACATTTAACCTGGCACTTCTCTTTCTGGTTTTGTCACAATGAACATTTAGTCTGTTAAAGGCTCTGCAAAGTCCTGTAGTAAAGAAGTCTGTAAAATTCATTGTCCCAGGTTTCCCACACTTGTCTGAGCTCTGACTGCTCCTCATAGCATCCTTATTCCATTCTCAGGACCTGCTGTCAAGGTTCACTGGTTTAGCAAACACTAGGCCAGCCTTTCTAACCATTATCCCTGTTTTCTGATTGAAACTACACATATGACAGTAAACGTCCTAAGGTTACAGCTCTGATGGTGTCAACATCCTGCTCAAGTACTGTCAATAGCTCCTCAAGGCTTGCCAAATAAAATCCAAATGTTCCTCTTACCCCCCAGTGGCACCCCTACTTTCTAGTCTCAAATTCCACTATTACCACCTAAGACATCTGAGCTCCAGCCACAGGAACCCCACGCTTTCCTCCCCTCCCCTCCATGTCTGGCAATGCCCACGCCTCTGATGCACTGCTGCACGGAGAGTTCTCTGAATTCTCTTAAGGTAGCGATCTTATCCTCCCCTGAGTTCCCCATCACTCTGTACCCCGCCTCTGCTAAATACTGCAAGCTGCCTCCTCCTATATCTGTGTCCGAGGTAGATGCCACACCATACCTCCTGCACCCCACCCCTTTGGGGGTCCTTATGAGACAGGTGCTCTCTAAATATTGAATGAATGAATGAAATAATCATTATTCCACACTACTGGCTGCAATTAAGCTCATTGAAAGTTGATAAATTGCACAGACCAAAAGGCAAAATAGTCAGCCACCAACCAAATAATAATAATACTATGAGCAGAAAAAAAGAGGAGTAGGGAAAGATCTGGAAGCTTCAAAGGAAGGTCTGATCACAGAAAGAGAAGAGTGATGCAGAAAGTTTATGAAGAGCGGGGAACTGGGCTGGCGTGTGTACTACCTTCAAAGGTGTAGAGAGCTTTGCAAGTCCCTATGGCAGGGAGGGGCTCCTCATCATCGAACTCGTCATCGAAGTCCGCGGCCAGCACCTTCACCTCACTCTCCTGACTCTGCTCCTCCGTGTAACTGCCATCCGGGCTGCTCAAGAGAGGAAAGCACACAGCAACTATAGCGACTGCCCCCAGCAAGGACCCGAATCCAGCCCGGCAAGAGCAAAGAGCTGGCAAGCCCCCGAGGGTTGGAACTAAGACCATCTCAAATCACCCTGCAGCTCTGGCACCGCCACGTGGAATCAGAACCCTGCACAGTGGGAAGAATCTTAGGTCCATCATCACAGGCACTTTGGTGTCCAACAAGTGCCTTACGCTCGTGTCCAGATTCCAAAATCGAGAACGGAAGACCAAGCAGAATTGCGCCCTCGCCAGAAGCAGGCCCTGCTCAGATACTGTACCTCTCCCGGTCCTGCGCGCAGTTGTTGACGGTCGCTGGGTTCTGAGCGTCGTACATTCCGCTCTGTCGGCGGGCCTGGTCGCCGCGCGCTGGGAGCCGGCCTTCAACCTCCGCCAGCCACGCCTGGAAACAGAAGCCATGAGAGACTGGCCTGAGCTCAGCTCAGGGCCCGAGCATAGAGTCTTACGGCTCCCAATTTGGGCTGCTGGTTGGTCACTGAAGCTGATTCGAGAAGGACCACATAGGGGTGGAATCTCCAGTGTATGAGAATTTGACTGTAAAATGTACCTACAGGCAACTATTTCCATTTCATCCCAAGATGGAGAAGTGGCAGCAAACCTCCATTTAGGCAATCGCTCCCACTGTGGCAGAAAGAACACTGGACCATGTTATGCTCTTGCGTTTTTAAACAGCTGTGTGTTTTCGGATAAATCACTTCTAGTTCCTTCTGGTTCCAGAAATTCTGTGACCATGAGGTCACACTGGGAAACATGAGGGTACCACCATACTGGAGCAGTGACTCAGTTTGAAAGCCACACTTCCCATTTTTTTAGAAGTGTAATTTTTTTTAGTAATGAAGAAACTTGTACATAGGAAATCAAAGTAGATAAAATTATCTTCGGCAGTATTTGAAATAGTCACGCTATTCAAAAGGCAGAAGAATAAAAATGACCAGAAAAGGACATTTCTAGGTTCTAAAAACTCAATCAAACATTAAAAACTTTGACGGATTCTAGAAAGAATGAAAAAAGCCCGATTTGACCCTTCATTGCTAGAAATAACCTATCCTGACTGGAATGATCAGTTACTAATTTATCTTTCCATGCTCTGTAGAGGTCTTTATTTACTTATTTATTTTTATAATTTTATTTATTTATTTTTCTCCCCAAAGCCCCAGTAGATAGTTGTATGTCACAGCTGCACATCCTTCTAGTTGCTGTATGTGGGATGCGGCCTCAGCATGGCTGGAGAAGCGGTGCGTTGGTGCGCGCCCGGGATCCGAACCCGGGCCGCCAGCAGGGGAGCGCCCGCACTTAACCGCTGAGCCATGGGGCCGGCCCCTGTAGAGGTCTTTAAATTTGGGGGGAAAAAGAAACCTTTTGTCCACAGCTTTTGGGTGCTCCTCCATCTCCTTAAAACATTTATTATTTGTGTTTCCTAGTCATTGTCACTTCTCATTTGAGTTTCTTACTGGTTTTCATATATATGTCACCTTTTGATAACGAGTCCTTTGAAGGAACAATAACATATTTCAACAGATTTTTAAAAACGGTTTTTTTTGATTTACTGAGATGATGGACAACTGTATACTCCCAACTGTATCCATTATCAACATGAAATGAAGGAGAATAAACTTAAGTGAAACACTTAAATTAAAAAACAACCCTGAGGGGCCGGCCCCGTGGCTTAGCTGTTAAGTGCTCGCGCTCCGCTGCTGGCAGCCCGGGTTCGGATCCCGGGCGCGCACCAACGCACC